GGGGGGGCGTCGGGCCCAGCCACGGGTACCCGGCCGAGAGGAGCGGCCGTGGTGGGGAAGGGCGCGGCGGGGCCGGGGAACCCCGACTCCTTTCCACCCCTCGGGTGCGCCTCCTTGCGAAGGTCCTCTAAGCCCGGGTGGTGGCGGTCGCGCAAGCCGCTGCGGTGTCGTGCACACGCGTGCAGCCGCGGGCACGGTCCTAGAAACAGGGAAGGCTGGGTGGGCGGTGGGCGGTTTACAGCGGCCGGAACAGTCCACGTGGTCCGGCCTGCGGTTGTGCCTTCTGGCCAGAGGGCTTCCGCACTCCGGAGCGGGAGAGGGAGAAAACGCCCCTCCAGGGGGCGCGGTCACGCCCCAGCCCCTTCTCCGTTTGTCGGTCCTTTAGGAATGGGCACGTCGGCACACGCACCTGGCTTTTCCACCCGCAGGCCGGGGCCGAGCTTTGCCTGTGCCTCTATGGAGTCTGGGTACCCTAACCACTAGGTTACCTGGCGGCACCTGCTAATCGTCCCTAAAGTTAGGCTCGCAGCACTGTCCTCACCTGTGTGTGCGCAGAGGGCTGCCCCAGAGGAGCTGTGTGTGTGTGTGTGTGTGTGTGTGTGTGTGTAATGGGGAGCACGTGCAGGCGATTTAACAATCACTTCATCCTCATCTTCTGCTGTTTAGAATATTTCTACAGGTGAATCAGAATTCAGAAAGGAGAACAGAAACTGTTATCCAGTAACCCCCTCCTGCCCCCCTTACCGAAGTGTAATTGACAGACATCGTGTATGTCTAAAGTGTACAGTACTGTATGTCGCAAAGAGATGACCACAGTCAGGCTAGTTAAGGCACCCTCCCCTCATGGTGCCATTTATTTTCCTAGTGAGAACAATACAATCTACTGTGCTGGCGAGTTTCAAGTGCACGGTGCAGAGCGAGCCTGGTTTCCAGGCTGCACCTTGGCTCTGCTCTCCCGGGCTGCCTGCCAGCCTAAGTGACTGTACTGTTCCCGCCTAACGTGCCCTGGCACCGAGGTTACCCTGGGACTTTGAAGAGCGCAAAACTAGCCAGGAAGAGGTTTTGTGCTTTTGTTTTGTTCGGTGTGTGCTTTGCGGGATTGTATGCAATATTTGTGGGGAGGAAAATGTGAATGTTTTGGGTAAACAGGAAGTGCGAGGAGCCAGAGCAATAGAACTGGATTGCCAGAGAGGCCTGGAAGAGTTAGGATTGAATTTCTACCCTGGATGGAGCAAATTTGGCAGGACTGGGGGGCTGGGGAGACAGACCAATCACAGCTGCCTCACAGGAAGAGGCAGCTCCTCTGCCCCTTTACCCTCGTGTTGACACCAAAGAAGGAAACTTGCCCCGTGTTTTAATTCTGTACAACATGTCTGGCAGATTTGCAAAATCCTTCTGAAAAAGCAGAGTTCTGGGAATCGGTGTTGAAAGGAACTGCTGAATTGGCATTTAAAAAAAATCTTGGTGGGGGTGCTGGCACATGGTGGTGGTTAAGGGCCCTGGACTCCCGCATGGCTGACAGAGGTTCAAATGCCAGACCTGGCTGCTTTCTCACTCCCCCCCACCCCTCTCCCTCTCTCCCTCTCTGATCACAGTGAAATTAGTGAATAAATTTAAACAAATTCTTGTTGGTAGCGTTGGTTACTACCCTTGGGATATGGGCCTAGAAAAATGGGTCCTTTCATATTTTACTGCAGAACAGGGATAGAGAATGAAGTTGGAGTAAGAAAAGAGACTGGATTTTTTATTTGAGAAAGAAGTTCTCTTGCTTTTAGGGGTATCTTTTCCTGAGGTTACTGTTGAGTAACTGTAGTAGTTATCAGATATTGGTGGGATGATATAATGGGATATAGACAGAGGATTTAAAATCAGAACTCGACCCAGGACACCGATTACTTTCAACTTTGATCCCTCGGGTTCTGGGCTGTTCAGGATTGTTGCAAAACTGTTTATCAGAAGTTAGTGTTGGCGAACTGAACTATGACATGGAAGAGGGCAGGGGTTTTTTATTTTTTAATTTTTTATCCCCAGAGAGGTTTTTGCTATAGGGCGTGTGCGCTTGCCAGAAAGACAGAGACAGAGAGACAGAAAGCGAGAATTCACCCCCACGGGGGGAAGGCCATGCCGCAATCCCTTCTCCTCTTTTCTTCTCTTGTGATCTTGGGCACACACGCGCCCAGCGTGAGTTTAAGCCACTGGGTCCGGGACTCGAACTGTGGTCGACTACATGGGAGTCCAGTGACATAGCCATCATGCTAACCACTGGCCCCGAGGGCAGAGGTTTTTAAGTCTAAATCCATAGTAACTTTAGGACCAGGGACATGCTGTCTGTAATTCTGTGCCATGACATTTTTCCAGAGAGAGGTCTGCAACTTTTAGCAGACTCTTGAAGAGATCAGTGACTGACAAACACAGCGAAGAACTGCTGGTACAGCTGAGATCACTAAATCACAGCATACGTAAAAACAGAAAGTGGGGGGCCAGCAGGTGGCATGGTGGTTAAGGTGCTGGGCTCCCACCCTGCTGACTGTGGTTTGAATCCTGGGCTGCTCACTTGCTCTTTTTCTAGTGAATGTACGTGTCCTATAGCAGATTTTTAAAAATTAACTAATTTAAACAGGAGGGACCAGCAGATTATGTAATGGTTACATTGCTGGACTCCCACATAGTTGACCAAGGTTTAAATGCTGAACCTGGCAACTTAAAACTCATGCCAGGCGTGTGTATGTGCAGGCTCAAAATCCAAAGAGGAGAATGGAGGAAGAGGGGTTGTGGCGCTGGGTGGGGGGTGATTTCTCACTTTCTGTCTCTCTCTCTGGCAAGTACACACGCCCTATAGTAAAAAAAATCTCTCCCTTAAAAATAAACAAGTTAGTGAATCCCTAAGAGCATGTTGAAACACAGTATTTTATTTAACTGTGTAGCAGGAGCTTGAGCTAAAACTGACTTGTCCTCTCTTTCCAGGCCGAGTGATAGGTACTTTCACGTGTTCGGGAGAAAAGGAAGTAAATCTGGCTGTTCAAAATGCAAAGGCTGCCTTTAAAATCTGGAGCAGGAAATCTGGCATGGAGCGTTGCCGAATTCTTTTGGAGGCTGCCAGGATAATAAGGGTATGGTTTTGTTTATTTCCGTCCAGAAGGCCCCTCTTACATTGCTCTGAGAGTTCTGAACTGCGAGGATTTGCGCTTTAGTGTTTGTGAGAAATGGGAAAACATTCCCCACGCTCACCCTGTGTGTGACGCGAGCTTGTGGTTCTGCCGGATCTGGGCTCTGGACAGCCACCTTGGCAGGGCTTCCTTGCTGTCTTTGTTTTCGAATTACAGTATGCTCTTTGTGGCCTGTCTCCTCCTCCTTTTTTTTTTTTTTTACTTGTTCATTGGTACAGTGGTGTGTACACAGGGCAAGGGAAAGCACCCCCCAGAGGCAATCACCGCACTGCAGTGCCTTCTCTCGGGATTTTGGGCATGCACGTACATGCGCCCAGCGTGTTTCTCAAGGCTCTGGGTCTGGGACTTGAACTACAAAGTCAGCCATGTAGGTTATGTATTTATTAAATTATTTATTTATAAATTATTTATCTAATAAGTAAATAACCTCCACACCATCTTTGTCTCCTCTTTTTAAACCATGTTTGTTACTTGTTTCCTTTTTACTGTTTCTTCTGGCGGCTCTTTGGTTTTCGTCATAGAGCGAGCGCATGGGCTGACTCACAGAGGGGAGGTGAAACACTGCCCCGGAGGGATGACCACACTGCAGTCCTTTCTCACGCACATGCTCCTGGCGTGATTCCCAGCCCCCGGGTCTGGGGTTCAAACCACAGTTGGCCACGTGGTGCGCCCAGCGTGTTTCTCAAGGCTCTGGGTCTGGGACTTGAACTACAAAGTCAGCCATGTAGGTTATGTATTTATTAAATTATTTATTTATAAATTATTTATCTAATAAGTAAATAACCTCCACACCATCTTTGTCTCCTCTTTTTAAACCATGTTTGTTACTTGTTTCCTTTTTACTGTTTCTTCTGGCGGCTCTTTGGTTTTCGTCATAGAGCGAGCGCATGGGCTGACTCACAGAGGGGAGGTGAAACACTGCCCCGGAGGGATGACCACACTGCAGTCCTTTCTCACGCACATGCTCCTGGCGTGATTCCCAGCCCCCGGGTCTGGGGTTCAAACCACAGTTGGCCACGTGGAAATTCATCACCTTAAACACCACAACACGTGCTGACCCCAATGTGAGTTTACTTTGGTGCGAAAAATTAGAAATTTATGCAGAGTTTTTTCATAACAATGCATTTTCCATGAGGTTTTTGAGGACCCCACCCCCACCCCCCCAGTGAATACGTATTCTGACAGGAGACAGGAGGCTTTTTGGCTTAGAGAAAAAGAAGATTTATTACAGCAAAGTACGGCATCTGGACCATCAGCTTTAGCCCTAGTCCCTCAGCCCCACACCCCATGGGCAGTGCAGGAGAGCAGGAGTTACCGTGTGCGTGCAGTGGGGCGCACCACAGGAGAGGAGCCCGAGAGGACCCAGCCTAGGGAGGGCTGCAGGGACATCAGCCACCTGTCTCTGCAGAGAGGAGTTACTCATGAAGCCAAGCTGTCCAGGATTGCGAGGGGCCGTTCCACTAGGGTTCCTGCCCTGGAATGTACGTGATGTCTCTGAGCAGGACGGGGAGGGTGTTACATCTCATGTCCCTTCAGAGGTCTCCATCTTTAAGGACGTACTGTTTCTGTCTTCTGAGGCTTTTGCTGTTTAATCAGTTTGCCAGTGTCCTTTGCTTAGAAATGGTTGAGGCACTGGACTCCCACCTGGCCAACCAAGGTTCGAGTCCCAGACCTGGCGGCGTGCTTTCTCACTTTTTCTTTTCTCTCTCTCTCTGGTGAGTATATGTGCCCTATAGCAAATTTAATAAATAATAATAAATAAAGTTAAATAAATAAATCTTTAAAATAAAAGAAAGAAAGGAAGTCCAAACAGATGTGAACAAATGTCCAAATATTCATGGAAGTGGTGTAATGGTTACATCCCTGGACTCCCATGTGGTTGACTGCAGTTTAAGTCCTGGACCCAGTGGCTGAAACTCACACCGGGCACGTGTACATGCGTGCCCAAGATCCCGAGAGGAGAGCAGAGGAGATGGGATTGTGGCCATCTCCCTGGGGGTGATTTTTCACTTTCTGTCTCTCCGGCGAGCGCATGTGCCCTGTAGCAAAAATATATATATATTCATGGACAATTTTCTCCCAGTAAAGTATTTTACTCTCTTGTCAAACATTTGTTTTATTTATTTGTATTTCTTTCTTTCTTCCATGAGAGAGGGGATCCAGGCTCTCTAGCAGGGTCCTTAGACCTTGATCCACCCCAGCCTCAGCCCGTGAAGATGGTGGGTACCTGTGCATGCCTGGTGTGTACAGGGAGGCCTTAGGACTCGAACCCAGGACCTCCCCACATGGCTTCAGAGTGTGGAGCCCTGTGTTACCTCTGAGCCACCGCAGCTGGCATAAACATTTATGTTTAATTTGGTAGGCTAGAGAGGATAGCTCAGAGCTGACAACTTCTTATTTTAATTTGTCCTTCATTTTTCCTAGTGCATGAGCATGCGGGGTTGCTGTTTCCTTCAGATCTGGCCCTTTTGTCATGAACTGACTTTTTGTGGATTGTTTTAATTTGGCGGAGGATATGCACACTCACAGAGACAGAGAGAAGGCACTTCCGGGCCCTGGTCACGCGCACTCCCTTCTCCATTTCTCCCTCCTTTCAGGATTTTGAGCATCTGTGTCTATGTGTTTTTCAAACTACTGGGCCCAGGACTCAAACCATGCAGTTGGCCATGTGGGATCCAACCGCCCTAACTGCCATACTACTGGCTGGCCTGAAATGGCTTATTAATCCTGATCATTTTTTTTGTTTTTTTTTTTTTGGATTTTTGTTACAGGGTACATGTGCTCACCGGAGAGACAGAGAGACAGAAAGAGAGAAATCTTTCCCCAGGGAGACGGCCACACTGCAGTCCCTTCTCCTCCATTCTCCTCTCGGGATCTTGGGCACGCACGCACACGTGCCCAGCGTGAGTTTAAGCCACCGGGTCCAGGACTCGAACCGCAGTCAGCTACATGGGAGTTCAGTGACATAGCCATTACACTAACTGCTGGTCCCAATACTGATGTGTGTTTTGTGACCAGGAACGTGCCACTTCCTTTCTCCTGAGCACTGGTCTGTTGATCGTGTGCGGGCCCTGCTTTCAGCCAAAATTACTCCGTAATGGAACTGAGCCCACCCTCTGACCACATCCTGCAGTCGTAAAAGCCCTCGGCTGTTTCTTTTACTGATTTTTCTAGTTAATCAAGATCTGCAGCTCTTTGCTGCTTCTATTTTTTTTTTTTTTTTGGAGAGGTTTTTGCTATAGGGCGCGTGCGCTTGTCAGAAAGACAGAGAGAGACATAGAGACAGAAAGCGAGAAATCACCCCCAGGGGCGATGGTCACACCGCAATCCCTTCTCCTCCATTTTCCTCTCGGGATCTTGGGCACGCACGCACACGTGCCTGGCGTGAGTTTAAGCCACTGGGTCCAGGACTCAAACCGTGGTCAACCACATGGGAGTCCAGCAACATAGCCATTACGCTACTGCTGGTCCCGCTGCTTCTATTTTTAACCATAAACAATGGTCTTTTTAAAAAAGATTTTAAAAAATAAGGTAAAAATTTACTTCATCATGTGCTCACCATTTCTGGTGCTCTTTATTCCTTGTGTAGACTCAGGTCTATCTGCTCTTATTTTCTCCTGCTTGAAGGAATTATTCAGCATTTTTTTAAGAGGTTTTTTTTTTTTTTTTTAATTTTTGCTGTAGGGCTCATGTGCCTGGTGGAGAGACAGAGAGACAGAGAGACAGAAAGCAAGACATCACTGCCCAGGGGGATGGCCATGTTGCGATCCCTTCTCTATTCTTCTCTCAGGATTGTTGGGTACGCATGCACACAAGCCCAGCGTGATTTTTAAGTCACCAAGTCCAGGACTCGAACTATAGTCAACCATGTGTGAGTCCAATGCCTTAACCACTATGCTACCTGCTGGCCCTACTTTTTTTTTTTTTAAGGGAGATTTTTGCTTTAGGGTATGCGAGCTTGCTAGAGAGACAGAGACAGAAATAGAAAGTGAGAAATCACCTCCTGGGGGGATGACCACGCCTCAATCCCTTCTCCATTCTCCTCTCCGGATCTTGGGCATGCACACGTGCGCGGAGTGAGTTTAAGCCTTTGGGTCCAGGGCTCGAACTGCAGTTGACTGTGTGGGAGTCCAGTGATGTAACCATTATGTCATCTGCTGGTCTCTATTTAGCATTTATCTTTTTTTTTTTTTAAAGAATTATCTGTTTATTTACTTACTTAGTTCCATTTGTTATTACTATTCTTTTTAATTTGACCAGAGAGAGAGAAAGGGAAAGTGAGAAAGCAAGCCACCAGGTCCGGGACTTGAACTGTGGTCACCCAGTGGAGTCCAGTGCCTCTATCCACCATGCCTCCTGCTGCCTGCCCCCTCCCACCCATTTAGCATTTCTTTAGGTATTCCTTCAGATTTTATGTGTCTGAAGAAATCTTTACTTTCATTTTTTAAAAGTATTTTTTATATCGTTTGTCATCATTATTATTTTAAATTTGTTACAGGGCACGTATACACATCTGAGAGTCAGAGAGAGAGAGCTCAGGCATGTGAGCGTCCAGTGCCTTAACCACCACACCGCCTGCTGCTCCTTACTTTCATTTTTGACTGTTTTCTCTCAGTCTTTAAGGAAGTTGCTCCATTGTCTCTCGTCTGTGTTCTGCTTTCATTCTGTTTTTGTTTCTCTGTGCCACGTGCATCATCCCCCCCAAAACTGGCTGTTTTAAGACTCTTGTGCTTAGCTCTGGTTTCAAGCAGCTTTTTCTTTATTCATGATAGAGCCTGTGTGCACACATGGCACAGGGGGAGAGGGAGGAGCACCCTCTGCGGAGTGTGCTCCAAGTCCTCCCACCTCTCATCCCGGGCATTTGTGCGTGTGCCTGGTGTGCTTCGGGCTGGCCGGCTGTGATTTGAACCATGACTGCCATGTGGAATCCAGCTCCTCTGGAG